GAGACCATGTGAAAAGCGTGGGATGGGCACAAGACCCACCCTTCCGGGTCTTGCCCAAGTAGCCCCCAGCCTCCAACCAGGTCCCAGCTCCTGACGGGCCGTTCGGGAAGAACTCATCCATGGATCAGTCCCCTGGTAGATCAGTGCCCCGTGATCCAGTCGCCTTCCAGAAGCCCCAACTCTGGACACACGAGCCTTTGGGGAACATTGTCGATCGAAGTCATGTTAACCACTGGTACTCTGACAGAGGTATGAGCCCAGAGCTGTAGGTTCCAGGGGCTGGGTCCTGTGGGGCTCCCTCTAGGACCTCCCAGATAGGCAGGACAAGGGGCATGTCTTAGTTACTTCTCTTGCTGCTGACACAAAGTACTCAATACCCACAAGTTAGAGGAGGAAAGGTTTGCTTCAGCTTGCAGTTTGTACAGGTTTCAGTCCACAGTCTGCTGGTCCCAAGGCAGGGCAGCATGGCACAGGGGCGTGGCGGAGGAGAAACAGTCCATGGCAGGGCAGGCAGGAGGCCGCAGAGCAGTGCGGCAGGCTTCCCTTTCCCTTACATTCCACCCAGGCTACCAGGCTCTTGGGAGGAGCCGCCCACCCCCAGGTTGGGCCTTCCTGTTAGCCACACCCAGAACAGTGCTAAACCAATCAGTGGCGTAATGTAGTACCACACACCCTTAATCCTAGTATCACCCACTCTAGATGCAGCCAGCTCTGAAAAGCCCCACCTATAAGCGTGTGAGTCTTTGGGGGACAACTAGACACATAACAGGGCATCAGTGTCATATGTCAAAGCTCCAGGACTGTCTGCTGCAAATGGCCCTGGGAATTCTAAGGTCCCTTCCAGCCTGGCATTTTTGGGATTACAAGGATCCTGGATGGAGGGAAAATATCGTGCAGGAGGCAGAGGGAATTGCAAAAGAGCTCAAGGAGTGTGTACTATCTCCCTGTGTCCTCATTCCTGGGGGTGCATCTGGGCCCCAAAAACTGGTCCTGGGCCCCTGGGAACCAGTGTCCCCTTGAGCCCACCAAAGCTGAGCCTGCTGGACAGGTCTGGAGAAGTCCAAGATGTCAGTGAGGGGCTTCTCTAGTTCAGACTTGGAGGAGGGACAGTGTCTGTCTGTCCTAAAAAGGCTCCCGCCCTGCAAGGAGAGGTGGGGTCTCACTGACCTGCTTTTCCTAACCTGGGAGGGGCTTCTGGCTCGAGGTGACTTACTTGAAAACGAAATGCATGTAAGGCTTCGGGTGCACAGGCCCGTTTGTTGTCACTGACGTTGGCGTCTCTGATGTTGTCCCCAGCAGCAAGTGCACACTTCAGGCCTAGAGCCCCAGTATCAGTGCTACCAGCCCTATTAAATGCTGTGTCCAAGTCCCCCACGTGGTACATGCTAGCTTTGGCACCAGGTAGAGCACGAGACAGAGGTAGATAACAACAAGCCTTTATTGCCGGCGCGGGAGGGTTGCGGGAAATTGCAAGGACCCTGGGAGGACGGAGCTAGGGAACGGGTTTTTATTAGGCTAGACTAGGGGTGGAGTTAGTATGCGCAGGCGATGTGTCCTGAGAGGAGAGGATTGGAGGGAGTTTATTTTGGGACTAGAGGAAAAACATGGAAGTTAGGCTTGCAGGGACACGTTGTTTTGGGGATCAAACGCCATGCTGGATCACCACCATGATGGCCCCAGTAGAGTTCTATAGGGGCAGAAACCCATCACTACCCACGCCGGCCTGGCAGAGTGGTGCTCAGTACCTGTGTGAATGATGTGAAGGACAAAGGGGTGAACAGCTGGTGAGCAATGGGCCTGCGTACCCACCTGCAGGTGCACGGAGGAAGCGTGGTGTGTGCTCAGCACGGAACGCTGGTCTGTGTTTGAGAAGGGTAAACCCGAGTCCTTCGTAGGAAAATGGATGCACCTCAAGACCACACTGCTGCGTGAAATAAATCAGGTGCAGAAGCTTACATACAGCACGATTTCTCTGACGTGAGAAACCCAAAGTGTACATAAAGGGCAAAATAAAAGTTATGTAATCGGAAGGAGGAAGGTGGAGCTTTTGCAGATGGGAAGGGGAGGAGCAAGTGGTGGAGGGGTAGGGGAAGGAAGGGGAGGGACACAGAAAAGAAGATGCGTTCTGTGCTCTCAGCTCCCCGCGAGGAGTGCAATCATTACGTCCCACACACGTGGACACATGAAAATATATAAGTTTTAAAAAGAGAGTGCCACGCCAGAGATTAACATTGGACCCATATCTTTGGTTTTTTTTTTTTTTTTTGGTGTAGGGACTCGAACTCAGGACCTTATGCTTGCCAGGCAGGTGCTGTGCCACTGAGCTACATCCCCAGCCCTTAGACCCATCGCTTTCACCATGCACCAAACTAAATTTGAAATGGGTCAACGAGCTATTAAAACAGAAATGTTAAATCTGCTGGAAGATTTAATGGCAAAGAATAGGTAAAACCACTATCATTTAATGATAAAAAAATAGGTAAAACTCGACGACACTGGTATAGGCAAAGACTTTATGAATAAAACCCCAATTGCACAGGAACTGTCACAAAGAATCAACACTGGGATCTCATCTTATTAAAAAGCTTCTGCACAGTGCGAGAAACCAACAACAGAGTGAAGAGACAACCCACAATGTGGGAAAAAGTGATCGCCAGCTGTTCCTCGGACAGAGGATTACTATGGAGAACATATAAAGAAGTCAAAAATATCAGGCCTCCCAAATTTAAAGACCCGTTTGAAAAATGGGCATCTCAGGCTGGGGATTTAGCTCAGCAGCACAGCGCCTGCCTGGCAAGTGCAAGGTCATGAGTTTGATTCCCAGTACCGGAGAAAAAAAAAAAAAAAAGAAAAGAAAAATGGGCATCTGAGATAAATACACACTTCTCAGGTGAAGAAATACAAACAGCAAATAAATATATGGAAAAAATGTTCAACATCACTGGTCATTCACAAGATGCAAATTAAAACAACACTGAGCTTGGCGTCCCAGGGCTCACGGAGCCGGCCCCGACTGGCTCTACCCCAGGTGGGGAAGGACGCCAGTCCTGGCCGGGTGCCAGAGTCCAGGCTGAGGTTCTCTCCAGGTGACCCTGCCCTTGCTCTGTTGGCAGAGTTCTATAGGGGCAGGACCCTGGTCCTTGCTTGTACAAGGATCGAATTTATGGAGGTAGCTGAGTGGCCCCTGCAGTAGCGCTTCACTCACGGTTCCTGAGAGGCAGGGCACATGGCCAGCTTGCGCAAGCTTAGGGCTGGCTGGCGATTCCAGGGACCCCTGCTAGCGGAGTGGCCAGGGTTCCAGCACTTGGCCTGGGCTGACTCACACAGAGAACACTACCTTGGGGGCTGTTCAGGCCACAGCAGAGCTGGCTGTGTCTCTCCAGGGTTAGCACGGCCACGGTTAACATGACTGATGCCTCTCCCCACAGGGTGTTTTTCCTGAATGTGCCCTTAGAGTCCATCCTCGAGCGCCTGACTCTGAGAAGGGTGGACCCGGTCACGGGAGAGAGGTTTGTGTCAAGTGCCTGGCGATGGGAGCCTCCTGTTTCCCCCTGAGCGCGGCTGGGGATGGGGTACTGGCTCGCCGCTCCGGATGTGCCCCCGCCCGCTCTGTCGGGAAGAACGAGCAGAGAGGAACGTCTGGGCTCCACCGCAGCATACTGGCCTGAGGGTCCTCTCTGGGGTCACCGGCTGCACCCTGCACGTGAAATGAGGCCTCGGGTGGGTAGTGTCACCTGTGCCTGTCACTGGGCTTGTGCCCAAGTCCAGACGTGTCCCAGAGGCAGCTGCTGTACAGATACATCTGGTGGTCTCCAGAGGCAAATTCTGAGTCCACTCTGCCATCTGACCAAGCCCCACGATCACGAAGAAGTAGCAGCGTCCATCTCTTCTGGAGAGCAGGGCCACATTTGCTGGCAGGGACTTGGGGGCAGGGGACAGGAAGGAAATGACAGAGTTTTTCTGAAGTATGGACCTGACCTGTCATCCTCGCTTCTAGGGGACAGTCCTGCCAAGTACTATGGCCTTCCTGTCCCCCTGCCCTGCAGGTCACTCCCAACAAGGACTGGCTGAGGAGCTTCCCGCCACCTCCACACCCACATTTGGGATCTAAAGTCCCACGCCCTCGTCTCACTTGGGTTCCGTAAACCTAGTCAGCATCTGTCTTGCTTGCCGCTGTGCTGGGCAAGAGCAGATAGAAGGGCAGACTCGCGGCAGATGCTTGAGGAACGTCTGGAAGGATGAAAACAAGCCCCAGGGCCGGAAGGAAGGGATCTCCTGGTTCAGTCAAGGGCGTGGCACAGCTAGGGCACACTGAATGTTCCCCTGCCCTCTGCTCCAGGCTGTGGGTCTCTTGTTCCCTCCCACCCGCCCCGTAGGTACCACCTCATGTACAAGCCGCCTCCCACCCTGGAGATCCAGGCCCGCCTCCTGCAGCAAGAAAAGGATTCCGAAGAGGAGGTGAAGCTGCAGATGGACCTGTTCTACAGGAACTCCGCGGAGCTGGAGCAGTTCTACAAGCAGGCCATCACCCTCAACGGGGACCAGGACCCGTACACGGTCTTCGAGTACATAGAGAGCGGGATCATCAACCCCCTGCCCAAGAAAGTGTTCTGATGGGTCGGGGACACAGCAAGCCCCGGAGAAACGCGCTCATCTCCACCCCGGCCTCCCAGAACCCTCACCAAGCCAATAAAGAGTGCGGGCTACTGCCTTGTGTGTTCTGAAGGTTCGGGGCTGGCAGGCGGCCTTGTTTTGGGGTCTGTGGGCCAGGAAGGAAGCTGAGGGTGACAGGACAGTGGCGAGCTGCGGTGTCCTCCGGCAGGCCACACGTTCCTCAGAGCTTGTTTTCACTCAGAACAAAACATGTGCCGAGGCTGCCTCTGGGGTTGCTATGGGATTCAGAGTCACAATGCAAAGAAAGCCGGTCGCAGTGCCCGGCACACAGTAAGCACCAGGCAGACACAGCTTTAAAGGCCTGGCATCCAGCGGAACTCCGAACAATGCCCCTGCCCCTGCCCGTACTGTCCTATCAGGCAGCTGCCGGGCACCTGAAACGCAGCTAGTGCCACTGAGGAGGTGGTTTGTAAGTTTTGCTTCATTTCCACAGAATTGAATTTAAATCCCCTCCTGCAGCTGGTGGCTGCCCGATCCAACAGTGCTGTTCTGGACGGACTTGGTTGTTTCTCCAGACTTGCTTTCTGCGGGTCCCCTCAGGAGTGCAGAGCCTGCAGGGCCCAGGAGGGACTCGGGACAGGGACACCTCAGGCTGATAGAGCGGGTGCTCCTCATGCGCCCCGCACCCCCACGTCATTTCCTGTGCTCTTAGCGATAGCCTCACTAGTCAGCACGGGGAGCTCACTCGCAGACAGGGGAGGACGCTGCGGCTGTAGGGGAAAATGTCTTAGCGAAGGTCACCTGGATCCGGCTGGACCTGAACCCTGTGTTCTGGGTGCATCGCCGGGCTGTCTGCCTGCCTGCCCAGCCCCTGGGCTCCAGGAAGCTCCAGGCCTCTAAGCCTGAAGGCCAAAGGCCCTGCCAGCCGGGGCCAGCCCGGAGCACCTGGGCAAACTCTCTTTCTCATTGTGCCACCCAGCACAATGGGCAGGGCCCAACCCTGCCAGCCGCTGCCCACCGTGGCGGGCCAAGCTTGGGCTGGCCTTCTGCAGCCTCGGGCACAGGTGAGTTGAGCCCCATGCCCGCCGCAGCCAGGCCTATGGCACCAGGAGCTTCGGCAGGCATCCAGCCTTCTGCTGCTTCCCCCTGCCTGGCAGCTCAGCCCTGCACCCCACCTCCTCACCCTGCTCCTGAAACTCCAGCGGGGGCCCCTGCCAGGTCCCAGCTCTCCCCCACCACGCAGGCCGGGCACCTCCCACTGAGCCGCCTTCTGCCAAGACCACACGCCCGAGGCGCGCACACTCCATGCACGGGGTGAGTCTGCCCGCTGGCTCCCAGCCCTCCGGGACACGCAGTGTGGGTGTCAGTCCCCAGGCAGAGGTGTCACAGGCCACTTGTTCTTGCGGTGTGCTTGAATGCTCAGTGGGTGACCCATTCTCTCCCCTCCCCTCCACCCAACGCTCCCCATGCAGTGGTGCCCTCTCTGCGCCCCCGCTTGGCTGAGCTTGTTGAGTGCAGCATGCAGGTGGCGCTCCTGCCAAGAGTGTGGGTTCCGGAGCCCAGCAGCCAGGTTTACCTGTTGCTGTGTGACCTGGAGCAGGTTACTTAACCTTTCTGGGTCCTGGTAAAATGAGAACAAATCAGCAACTGCTCTCCGGAGCTGTTGTGTGATAAAGTGAGGAGATATAGACATGGAATAGGTACAACATAGTAATTGCTCAGTAAAAGTTATAACCTTCCCTCTCATCTGACCCTCGCCACTTCCTATGAGGTGCGGCTTCTCCCTCGGTTCTCTCGGTTCCATCAGTTCCCTGTGAAGATGGGCCTGGTGCCTGCTGGCCTCAGGGTCTCTGCCTTCCCTGCGGCCCCAACACGTGCGTCTGGGGCAGCGGCAGGACGCCTGCACCCTCGAGGAATCCACTGGGGCAAATGTCGCCCACGATCATCGTCCCTCTCCCCAGCTGCCTCCGCAGTCCTGCACACTTCTGGTTCCGGCTGCCCCACCGCTGGGAGCAGGTGCTGCTCGAGGCAGACTGGGGTGCTCCCCGGAGCTCTTCCAACAAGCTGGGGCTCTCGTAGATCACTCTGCAGCGAAGGGGAGGAAGGGTGCAGCAGCGGCCCTCTGCAGTCACCGCCGCCTCGCCCCTCCCTGGCCCTGCACGCAGCCCTGCGGCTCCAGAGGACAGATGGGATTGGGCGCCTCTCATTGGACCGCAGCCTAACGGGGCCGCCTGGACGGTCAATCAGCGTCCGACCCCGGGGCTCCCGGCCCAGGCGGCCCCTCCTGCGGCTGGAGCAAACATCTTGCTCATTTTCACAACGGCCGCTGTGCTTGAAGGTAACCGCGGAGGTCTGATTAATGTCAACTTGCACGAGAACAAATTGCTCCAGCGCTGTCATCATGAACGCAGCTCCGCAGCCCGTTTTGAACCGCTTTTATCACCAGTTGTCCCCGCACGCTCCTGCCTGCTCGCGTCTGTGTGGCCTGCCTCTCCCCCACCCCCAGGCAGGGAGACGGCCACGTGGCCCCGGAGGCCCGGCGGTGTCTGCCCGCCCACCTCCCTCGGCCTCCGCTGTGTTCTCCCGCGGACCCTGCGCCCAGGCCGCCACGGACGGGACGGGACGGGGCTCCCACCCGCCCCGAGCCGGGCCGTCCACTTCTCTGCCTCAGAGGAGCGGCTTCCAAGCAAGGGCGCTGGACACTGCCTGCCTGAGGCTTTCGGGAAGGAAAAGACATTTGCGGCTTCTCTGGCTCGTTGCGGCGAAGCGGATCACGGAACGTTAATCTGGAGGAAACAGAGCGAGGCAGCCTGTGTCTGCCGTCCACTCACCCAGTACTTACTGGGCCCCACCACGCGCCCAGAGAGAAAGGGACGCCGCCTCTGCCCTGATGAGGCTTGCCAGAGACGCCAGGAGAGAGCGAGCGAGAGAGCCCAGCAGTTCCGCTGGGCCCTGAACCCCTCTCTACCCGCAGGGCCTGCGGAGCACCCTGGGGCCCTCACCACCGCCGCCCTGGGTCAAGCCGGGGTTCAGGGGCACAGGCGTAGGTTAGGGCCAATCCTGAGGGGCTCTGAGGGGAGCAGGTGGGGGAGCCTAAGTGAGGCCACGACTAGGGAGACCCCCCGGGTGAAGGTGGCTCCGAAGCTGAGCCGCAAGGCACACGCAAGGGTTCCAGGCACAAAAACACAAGACAAAACCATGGCGTACGTTAGCAGGCCACGGAACATGTTTCCACTTTTCAAAGTAGAGACATAAATATTTTTATTATGAAAATATGTTTCTTATTTTAAAAATCTAAGCAATACAGCAGAAGCATATCCATCACACACGAAGTGAAACGCCTGTCCTCCCTCCAGCAAAACCCTCCCTGATGCGTGCCTTCACCAGGAAGGACTGTGGAAGTTGCTGGGGACAGGTGTCTGCTGTACCCAGTCTACCGCCTTAAAAAAAGACGCGGGAAGAACACCTGAGACGTGCTCCAAAATGCAGTGCGTGTTTACAATTTAAAATTGTATTGCAGCAAAAAACACATTGCCAGGAATCCCCCTCATCACCCTCCCCTTGTGTCACACGAACTCATCCCAACGTTTGAGCCAGAAGTCGCGTAACGTCAGACGCGGTGGAAAGGTAGGTGAGGACACAGCGCCATGCGGCAGCCCTCGCCTGGGTGTGTGTGTGTGGATCTGTGTGTGTGTGTGTGTTGCTGGGGATCGAACCCAGGGCCTTGTGAATTCAAGAGCTCAACCACTGAGCCACATCCTCAGCCTCATTCATCATGTGTTTTTGTTTTTTTTTTTTCCGGTACCAGGAACCGAACTCACGACCTTGCACTTGCCAGGCAGGCGCTGTGCTGCTGAGCTAAATCCGCAGCCCCTTCATCGTGTTTTTGATCACACCTCATAAAGGCATTTGTGAAAAAGGACTTCCAGACCTGCTTCAGAAAGCGGCAAGGATGACCAACAAGTCTGTCTACAGCGAGGGGGAGAGTTCCGAGGGGCATCCGTGGCATGTAGGTTGGGGTGTGATGTATGCATATATACACGTACCAACTTCCAATGATGCATATAATCATTATGTACTGCAAACAGGGCATGACAAAAGTAAAAATTGTAAAAGCAAATAAAAGGCCATGTATCTTACTGTGATACATTTTACACATGTAAACATTCAGGGTACGTTTTGGCCACGCCTCGTCACACGAGGCCTCCACTCTCAGACTTGCGAGGGTGCAGCGCGGAGTCGCCAGCTGTGCGCATGGTGCGGCACGCCTCGGCCGCTTCCATCTCACCACACTGAAACCCGGCGCCTGCGGAACCGCAGCCCCGCAGCCCCTCCTCCCCGAGCCCCTGGCCACCGCCATTCTACACTCAGGTTCCATGAATTTCTTTTGTTTTGATGTTTTAAGACAGGGTCTCACTCCAGGCTGTCTCTCAGCGATGGCACCTGAGAGCTGGAGCCCATTGTTCCCCCCCAGCCTCGCATTTCCTTCTGAGACGCTTTCCCCAAATCCTGAGCCTGAGGAGCAGGCTGCGGGCCCTGACATCGCCTTCTCCTATAAATAACTACCAGGGCGGCAGCTTGGTAATTCTCAGAAACTGCAGATCCCCTGCCGACCTCCCCGGGCCTCGAACACACCGCCCCGGATGCCGAGGGTCACCAGAGCGCCAGTGCCGGGTCTCACCCGCAGTAACTCTACAAAGCCTCTGCAGACCGGAAGGCAGAAATTGCACCATTGTATGTCATGGAGGGAATGCAGGAAAACAAGCTTTCTAGCCATTTAAATGTGTATTTGAAGCCATTTTATTGAGAAATGATTGAATACAGAGTTCACCCACCCTGAGTATCTGCGGGTGATTTGACCCAGAACCCCTACAGATGCCCAAACTGGAGGATGCTCAAGAACTTTAGATAAATGGTGCTGCATTCAAAAACAAGCCGTGCACTTCCTCCTCTTGCTTTAACCATCCCAAGATTAAGATCGCAGCTGGCGGCAGCCGTTCTGCGGGCTTCCGTTTGGTCCTTTTTCCACAGCCCAGAGAACCAGCACTAAGCACCCCAAATGTGAACTTGGGGGCCAGGGAGATGACCACAGAACGATTTCCAGCAGCCTGTGCCTCCCTTTTGGCTGTAATAAACAATGCCCTCATTGTCCGCCATGTTCCTCACCACGGACACCGTGGTCTATTAGCCGTGGCCGTGCAGCTCTCGGGGCGGGGCGTGCGTGGGGTACTCACGGCCAGTCTCCTGCTTTAGCAGTTAGAGCCTTCTGCGTGGTCACTGCCATCCTGGGACCCCACCGCCGTGAGCAGGGGCAGCTCGTCAGAACTGACTTCTTGCTGTCAATCCTGACCTTGCGCCGCCCATCCCGACCTGTCCCTCTCTCCAGTATCCCAATTTGCCTTTTACTCAAAGCTCTGGTCCCAGGGAAGCAGCAGCTGGCAGGCCCCCGCTCATATCACCATCTCTCTGTGCCCACCTGTGGGTCCCGCCCAACACGGCACCACTGCGGGCCGGGCATCTGAGCGCCCGTGAGGCGGACATCTTCACCCAGGACAAGCTATAGCAGTCCTGGCCGGCATGCTAAGCCGAGTCTGTCTTAGCAGTAGGTGGGACAAAACACCCACAACCCACAACTGAAAGGCCAGAGATTTATTTTGGCTCAGGACTTCATTCCACAACCGGCAGGCTCCAAGGCAGAGATCCTTCCGGTCACGGTCCCAGTGACCCATCTCTTCCACCGGGCTCAGCCTCCTAACAGCAATGACTCAGCCACGAGCACAGCACCCCACAACCCAATCAGCTTCCAAAGGCCCACTTCAGCACCCAAGCTATGGGGGGACAGGGCAGATCCAAACCACCAGGGAGGTGCAGCGACCAGCACTTCCGTATCAGTAAGAGCCACCTCGCCCAGCCCTATGTCTTCATCCCGCTCAGCCCCACTCCTACTCCGGCCAGGTCCTGCAGCTCTCCTACCGGAACCGCCCGGCTGCCCAGTCTGACACTTGCCCGAGTCACCGACCTGGAAGTCTCCAGGCAACAGGAACCACTCTCCCTGCATCAAGGGGAGGGAACCGCATCTGCTGGTGCACGGCGTTCAAGGAATTGAGATTTAGTATTTTCCAAAGCACCCACCAAAAGTCCTACTACGGTTTGGATTTGCAGTGTACCCCCAAGACTTAGGCGCTAAAGGCTTGGTGGCTAGCTGATGGGCTTCTCTGGAGCTGACTGAGTCACGAGGATTCTGACTTCATCAGTGGGTTTTAATCCGTTGAGGGACATGACTTGGCGGTGTTACTGGTTATCAGGGTGTGATGGAAACAGGGCCCGGGCCTTGCTGGAGGAGTGGGTCACGGGGCGTGACCCTGGGCCTCGCTCAGGCCTCCAGCCCTTGCTCTCTGGCTCACTCTCTCCCTGCTCTGCCGTGAGGCGCGCAGCTTTCCCCCACCACACCCTTCTGCCGCGAAGCTCCCGCCTCACCGTGGGTGTAAGAACAGAGCTAGCTGACCATGGGCAGAGACCTCTGAAACCTGAGGCAGAAAATCCTTTCCTGCTTTCGGTTGTTCTTCTCAGGTATCTGTCACAACAGAAGGCTAACACAGGTCCCCACATTGGCCTCTGTCCTCTTCAGGAAGGTCATTTGGCTGAACATCTTCAGTAGCTGCTGGTAAGCTCCAGAGGCAGAGGATGTGGAGACAAATATAAATGTCTTGTGGAAGTGAAATAAATGGATACATACCCGTCTTTTTTCTTTGTTGTGAGGGCAGGGATTGAACCCAAGGCCTCACACACAGCAGACCAGTGCTCTACCACTGAGCTACACCCCTAGCTCTAAACCAGTCTTTCTAAGAAATGACAGATGTACTTCTCAGCTGAACAAAAGCTCAGAGGGCCTGTCCCCCACACAGCTGCACTACAGGAAGTGCCAGAAGAGCTCTAGTGTACAGCAGTGACAGCTGGAGATCTGGATCTCGTAGGGAAGGAGATGGCCAGTGCAACAGGTCCCCTGGGGTTCTGGCCTATGTGATGGAAGTCCTCATCTCCACTGTGCTGGTATTAGATGGAGCCTTTCTTTGGAAGGGGACGAGGGTTAGATGAAGTCATCAGGTAGGGCCCTCATAATGGGATTAGAGCCCTTCTGAGAGAGACCAGTCTACTGCGTCCCTCTCCCTGTGCACGTAACAAAGAGGAGGCCAGGTTAGCATAGGGTGACATGGCAGCCACCTACAAGCCAAGAGAGGAACCCTCAGAATGAAGCCATCTTTGTGGGAAAGCTTGATCTTGGACTCGCAGCCTGCAGACTGAGAAATACTTTTCTGTTGCTTAAGCCAATGTCTATGATATTTTGTTAGAGCAGCCTGAGCTAAGCAGCACGGCTGTTTAAAGCAAAACTTTGTATGCTGGGTTTACCATGCATGTAAGAAGGAAATAAAGACAGTGATAGCACAAAGCCTGGGAGACACAAATGGGTGTATTCTAGTTTCCTGTATGTTACAGCAGTATCAGCTACCTTCTGATTAGGGTTCACATGGCATACTTTTCCATCCTTTCAAACTTTTCCTACTTTTATATTTATTTAGGAGCCAACGGTTTTTTTTTTAAATTAATCTGATTTGGATTAGTTCGTTTACATTTAATGTAATTACTGTTTGGGTTAGAATCTAGCTTAGTACTTGCATTCCCTATCCTATCTTCGTTTTTCTTCCTTTTAATCTAGAATAGTAAGTGGTCAGAGGCAGCTTCACCCGTCAAGGTCTACGTGGATGAGTAGTTTCACCTGCTCCTGCACAGCTTACCGTCTCCCAATTTATTTGCTGCTCTCGCCACGTTTTATTTCAAAACCTCTCAGGACTTCATCTGAGTACAGTTGTTGCCCGCTCAGTCTCTCTTCCTGTTCTTCCTCCTTCGCTGCATCCCCGGACCTCTGCCTGATGAGAATTTGGGATTCAGGGGACGTTTCTTATTCAGTGACTTCAAATGATGACTGAAGGATGAAGACCAATTCTCCAGACGGACAGAAAAACGAGCTGCGTTTCATCGGAAGGTGAATTTGGGGAAGAGAGATGCGCCAGACTTGAGGATCCATTGCGGTGGCCCACTCTGCTTGTGTTCCGTGGGAAATGATGAATTCAAAAGAAAGACCAATCCTGTCCCCTTCAACTGGTGTCATGCCTGCAGTCTCTCAGGTAAGAGTACAGTACAGACAGGGCATCCTGTGTTGGTTTGGGGGTTACTTTTGCAAGGGGGACAATATAAAACAGGACACATATTTTATAAGATTATTTATAATAGTCATCCAAAGTATGATATACGAAAGAGTGCAGGAAATCGATCCAGCCAAAGGCCTGGATCTTGCGATAATGTCCTGCATGAGTCCAGCTGAAGACCTAGAGCCCATAACAACGCCTCCCACAAATCCAACTGGAGGCCCAGAGCCCACGACAACGTCTCATGCAGGCCAGTTTCACGGATCTGCGCTGCGAAGGCCCAAAGGTCGGCGGTGGAATCTGGGAAGTCTGTGCCAATGGGATGAAGCATCTGTGCTAGCAGGCTGAGGGATCTGCACTGGAGACAGGAAGCGATGCTCAGAAGAACCAGCGCTCCCCCAAAAGGTACCCAGCCATCCTCAGCAACAGTGAGGCCCCGAGCTCCTCCATGGATTAAGATGGCCGAGTTCCCATCAGGGAAGCCAACACAGCAAGCTTCTCCAGGAGACAGGCAGTGCACCATCTTTCCCTCCAGAGCCAGGAAGTGATGCTCAAGGTGGGGACCAGAGCTCCCCCAAAGTGAACCGAAACTATTCTCAGTGCCTCAAAGGATGAAAACAGCCAAGTTCATCAGGAAAACC